ATTGGGACTTCCCTGGTGGTCTGGCGGTTAAGACACCCAAGTTCCAGAGCAGGGGGAACAGGTTCAATTCCTCGTCAGGGAACTAAGATCTCTGCATGCCATGCAGCTCAGCAAACAACAACAACAAAAAACCTTGGGATCACAACCTCCTACTGTGCAGGGTCTGTGTTCAGGAAGTTGATGCTCTGATCTGAGGATTAAATAGACCATCTAGAGCACAGGCTCTGAAATCAGACCAGGGTTCAAATCTGGGCTCTGCCACTTACTAGCTCAGGTAAGCTTCTAAGCCTTTCTGAATTCAGTTTCTTCATCTGTAAACTGGGACTAAAAGCATTTACTAGTTGGCATTATGGTGAATGTGAAATGAGATAAGGCAGGTAGAACAGCTCCTGGCAACATCATTCAGCTCCTAAGTGGCCACTATAACCACATTTCTAGTATTTGGGGCTGTGGGGAGTGCTGTGGGCAAGAGTAAGGTGAAAGGGCAGAGGAGAAAAGAAGACTTTGTGGAGTTAGCTAGCCAACCAACACAAATCCCAGCACAAAATCCAACAAATGAGTACCACGTTGCAACCTCATTTCCAGGGGTGTCTCTGACTACCTCCACATTCCCCCCCACCCACCTACACACACACACACACACACACAAAGAGTACAGGAGCAGGCCTTGACAGCTCTTTGAAACTCAGAGGGTTTAAAATTTAAATGTCTTTGAGGGCAAGAGAAACACACCAAAACAAACACACCTCCGCGCAGCAGAGAAAGGGAAACTTGGCAGGGGCCCCAGAACTTTCCTCACCCCCAGCCCTCCCTAAACTTCCTCTTGTGGTTTCTCAAGAGTACAACCTGTTCTCAAGCAAAAGAACGGCGCCTGGGGCAGCGGGCTGGGGCATGCCAAGGCTTCCATCACACCCCACCCTACAGGAGGAGGAGGGGGTGTGTGTGCAGAGGAGCGGCCTGGAGGTCCACACAGTTCTGATCTTCACATCCTGCTTACCTGTGATGGAGGTGTGACCACCCTCTACCCTCAACTCCCAGCATCAACACTGCGCCCCCCCCCGCCCCCGCCCGACACTAGAGCTAGTCTGACTGCAGGCAGAGAGGGACAGCCTCTGGGCCTCCCCAGATCTGTGTAGAGGCCTCATGTGAGAAATCTAGTTTCAGAAAGATAATGGAAAAACAGCAGGAATCCATGGACCCTCTGCCCTGTGGCCTGGCTGGCATCATAGGCAAGTTCCATCCCACCTAGAGGGATGCATCTCAGATGTGCAGTGCAGTTTTAGGACACAGCTTTGGGATGCAGCAGCTGTAAGAAAGGTGCACATCTTAAGATTGCTTAAGGTCACTCCCTGACCATCTTCCTGACTCAGCTACCAAGTTGGGGTCCAAAACATGAAGGTTTCTGCTCTTCTTAAAGATTCCCAACAAAAGAAGTGTCTTGGTTTCCCATCTCTCTAGATTCTGGCACATCACATCCATGCATCTTTCCTGCATCAAACTTTGGTTTATTCCTCTTTGTGAGTGAGGCTTACTCAGGAGAACACACACACACACACACACACACACACACACACACACACACAGGGTCATTAGGAAGGGATACAAGCTCTGTGTAGTCCCCACAACTCTGATCCAGGCCTGCTTGGGCTCCCTGTAAACGGCACCTGCACCCACACTCAGCTAACAAAGTGCTCTCCTCTGCATCATTTGAGATACAGGACCACAGACACCCTTTTGGAAATTCCTAAGCCCCTGGCTTAAGGGCACATTCCATGTGGTCAGTCAAGAAGGTGGACTAGCCCAGTGGTTAAGAACAGGGCCTCCCAAGTCAAGTAACTTGGGTTTAGATCCCAACCCTGTCCTCTTTGGAAAAATTATCTCCTCCTTGCCTGAATTTCCTCATCTGTAAGACGGGGTATCTCATGAACAGAGGCACCTGATGGGCTTGGGATCGCAAAAAAGTTGGATATGACTTAGCAAGTAAACAACAAAAGTGGAGATAATACTAGTGTTCACTTTACAGGACTGTTGGGAGGATTAAAGGAGACATTACACCTAAAACATCTAGAAGAGTACCTGGCATGCTATATAAACCTTAGCTAGTATTCTGAACCCTTGAGGAAAGGAAATGGGAAAGAGAAGGCACTTGGGACAGTGGAGGTCATGGTCTCAAACACTGGGCAGAGACTGGGATCTTGGCGGAATCCTCAGAGATGCTTCTGATCCTAAATTCCAGGGGAGTAGAAGTTCTGACTTGTTTGCCATTATGTCCCCACTATTTAGCCCGTGCAGATAGTGTGGGCTCAGCAGACAGCTGAATGAATTCATAAATTGTTGAGTCAGCCATCTCTCAAGTGAGCCTGGGAATTGAAAATGCAGAAGCAGCAGCAAGAAAACAATGGCAGATCCACTTCTTTTCACTTACATCCAGTGCCAAGGAGAACTGAGCTGGGGGCTTAGATTTGTTACAGGAAACAGTCTTAGCATCCAGGGATGGGGAGTGGGTACCCCAGCATTGTGTGGACTCTTATATCACCCCTAGGGTGGACTCCCTGCTGCACCTACCTGGCAATTTCTGGGGTCCTGGGAACCAGCCCAGAAACATGCCTTTCCCAGAACCCATCCTGTTCATTCCTATCTCTTCTTCATATCCAGACAGCAGGGTTAAAGACAGCAGCAATTGTTTCTGTGTCCCCATTGTTTCCCAATGCCCAACACCTCAGTCAGGGTTCAGTCCAGCTCTGTAGAATGAGTAAGCTGCCCACAAAGACCCCACCACTTTTCTGCCTGCTGACTTTCCATCATTGAGAACCCAACTTAAATGTCCTCTTCACTCTGAAGCCTTCCCAGCCACCCCAACTTGGCACCTTGTCTCTGCTGTTCTATGACTCAGGCGAGACAATAACCTCGCATCAATAACATTGTACCCTCAGCATCCCAGCCAAATCCCAGACACACAGTAGGTGCTCAATCAATCATTTGCAGATGAATACATTAAGGCTCCCTCAGTAACAGCAACCAGTGTCTTCAGTTATTCCTCTTGTTGACACATTAAAAGACACAGAAGAGGCTAGAGCCATCTCTTGTGGCTAGATGCCATCTACCCATCAGACACCAGAGAGACCACCACTGCGAGACCCCTCTTTCTGGTCCTGTCCTCCAGCCTGCTCCCCCAGCCCTGGATGGCAGGAGGACCCCCAAGGCTCCCTGCCCACCCTAGTTCTGCCCTCCCTCCGCCTCCCAGCCCATCTCTGAAGTATGCAAAACGACGACAGACAGCCCAGTGAGGTCACTGGGCTTCCAGTTCAGCTTGGAGGGGGATTGTGCGGACACAGAGAAAGCGGAGAGCTTTGGGGGGGGGGGCTTCTCTGTCTTTCAGCCACGTGCAACTCAGACAGAAAGTGAGTTGAGCTTTGAGAGACAACCGGGAGGTGATGAGACGCGGTGACCTCTTTAACCACCACCCCCCAACCCCGATCCCCCGCCAGTCTCAGCTTGGAGGTTCCAGGAAAGCGCGGTGTCGCTGACACCCATCTATCTTGGTTTCTCCAGCCCTCAAGCCTACCTTCTCCGCAGGTGAGCCCCCCGGAGCACGGACCGTGGCCGCACACACTCTCTGCCGCCGCCTCTGGCTTCTGTCTCTGGGGAGGTGTGTGTGTGTGTCGGGGGGGGTCGTCACCTCCAGCCTCGGGGAGGGGCGTGCACCCCTCCCCCAGGCGCCCAAACAGAACCAGCCTCCGCCGCCGCAGACGCGGCGTGTTTACAAAGTCGGCGCCTCGCCGCCAATCCCGAGTTTAAAGCTGGGCAGGAAGTGGGGAAGAGGGGGCGGGGGAGACAAAGAGGCTGGGTGCTCCGCTCAGCGAAGGTTTGGGCCCCGATTCCTCCCGGCGGTCGCCCGGCGCCGCGACCCTGGCCCGCAGACCCCTCCCCACGCGCCCCAGGTGAGGGGGTGATGGGGGTGCCCCCCAGGCACAGGTGCTCCCGGCGGGCAGGCGCGGCGCAGGTTTCCAGACATCAGCCTCTGAGCGTTTTCCACTCATCCGTTCGCCACGCAGGAAATAAACATTAGGCGCTGTTGCTTGACCTCTTACTCTACGTCTGCACAGTCATAGACCATTCGTCTGTATTAGCTCACCCCCCCCCCCCCCCACGCCGCCATCCATCTCATCCTATCCTAGTTTTACAAGAGAGGAAACAGTCACAGTGAAGTCAGGCAATGTATCCGAAGCCCCAGAGCTGGCGAGTTCTGGGGTTCAAATCCAGCCTCTGCGTCCTGCCAAATACCCACAAACGGGGCGGTGCACGGAAGACCCCCCCCCCCCCGCCCCGCCATCCGGAGGGGGCTGACCCGCGAGCGAACCACAGAAAACCACAGGCACCGCGTGGACACAACGGCCTGGGAGGGAGACGGGCAAGCAACAGCCTCCAGCCAGCGGCGCCTTCGGTCTCGCCCGCAAACACCTGCAGATTCACACAGGGCGAGAGGGCAGCGTGATGCACCGGAACACCGGGATTGGGTCTGTGAAGCTCTAGTTCCAAGTGGGGCTGCGGGGACGCCAGCACAAAACAGGGTTTCCTGCTCAGGAGAATCACCTGGAGACTGAAGAATACAGATTCCCAGGCCCCTCTCCTAGAAAGCAAATCATGGGGACCCAGCGGGACCCCACACAACCATCCAGGCAAGTTCGGAGCGTCCCAGGGATGTGCTTTTCATGAAAAAGCAATTTCACTTCAAAACAGGTGTGAAACCGTGGGCTTATTTTCCGGGGCAAACTTCCGGGGCTCACTGAACCCACCGCTCACAAAGGGTCACGTGAGCCGGGGTGGGGGTGGGGGGGGTCACCCTGCGGACCTCGCAGAGCCTCGGAAAGCTCCTCCGAAAGCTCCTCGGAAAGCTCCGCGGTGCGCGCGCCGCCCCGCCCCCTGGCTCCCGCCCCGCCCCGCCCCTTGACTACAAGTCCCGTCGTGCCCCGCACTCGCGCACATTACGGCAGGGCAAGATGGCCGACGCGGCGGCCACTGCCGGGGCTGCGGGCTCCGGAACGGTAAGGGCGGGAGGCAGGCGCGGGGCCGGAGCCGAGACAGTTGGGGCATTCGGCAACTTTCCCTCTACCGGGCTATGAGCCCATACCCAGAAATCCAGCCCCACCCTAAGCCCTGCGTGGAGGAGGGTCTCTCAAGACGTACATGACTAACCCCCCCCCCCGCCCCCGCCATTCTCGAGACTTGGCGGCGGCCTCCGGAGTCGGTGGACCTGTGTACTGATTGGCCTATTCTTTGTTGGGTGGGGGGGGGTTGGGAACCCGGAACAGCTCCTGATTGGTCCAGTGAGGCCGCTTTCGCCTTCTTATTGGCCCGCTAAAGTTGGGAGGGATTCCTATTTCAAAATAATTTAGGTTTCCTACTTTTTCCTGTCCTCTTCTCAGCATCATGTGTTGTTTGTTGCTTTTACTCTCCTCGTTAGTGAAATGGTGTGGAGATGGGAAGAACGAGAGAGAGAGAGAGATCACTTTTTTCCTGGGTGATGGACACGAGTTCCAATCCCATCATGCGTGTTTCTTCAGCTATATATTCTGAAAATCTGCTAAAATAGAAAAACAAGCCGCTTTGTGTTACTGGAATTGTTAAGTGTTAGGTAGGCAGAAAGGCTGTCTCCGAATTTAGAGCCCCTAGGATGCTCAGTTACTCTTCATTTGGCCAAGAGCTATAAATCCAAAGTACCGATAAGTATTTAGCAAAAGAACCTTTGATTGCCAGTGACAGTATGTGAGTTCTGTAATTGCACCACTGTCCAGTGAATAAAAATGTTCTCTCTCTCTGGGCTGCTGATTCACAGAGATCAGGAAGTAAACAGTCCACTAACCCTGCTGATAACTACCATCTGGCCCGGAGGCGAACCCTGCAAGTGGTTGTGAGCTCCCTGCTGACAGAGGCAGGGTTTGAGAGTGCTGAGAAAGCATCTGTGGAAACACTGACAGAGATGCTGCAGAGCTGTAAGTACCTGGAAACAAAAAACAATAAACCCTCTTCCAGTCAAACAAACATCTGTTCTGTGTTCTGCATTATGATAGTGTTGAAAATGTTTAAGAAAAGGAAGGACATTGTTAAGTGACTAACAGGCTTTAGAACAAGATAGACCTTATTAGGTCTAGGTGTAAGGATAGGTATAAGTTCTCACTCTGCCACTTAATAGCTTGGGTCAACCACTAAACTTCCTGGAGTTTTGAGTATAAGTGAGATATATATGTAAAACAGTCAAGCTGAAAATGTAAGCCCTTAATGACTTGTAGGTGGTGTTATTATTACTGTTTGTTCTCTATGCTCAAAGAATTTACACTTTTATTGGAGAGTCAGGATTAAGTCCCATGAAATAGATGCCACACGTTATATAGTCAAATGCTATATTATGTGATAGAAAGAGTGAGGGTGAATAAGTTTTAGAAAATGGTGGGGGGGAACCACCACTGCTTTTAAAAGGAAGTATCTTGAGATTTTGGAGCCTGGAATGGTCTCACATAGGCTTGTGCCTAGTCAATGTATTTCCCTCTTTGGGCCTTGGTTAGGGAAGGGAAGGATGAGATGAGGGATGAGGCATTAAGGTGTTTTGGGAGGAATCAGCCCTGTGAATGGAAGTGAGAGAAAGGTTTAGGCAGAGAGGGAAAAGTTCAAACAAAGAATTGGCCAGCTTAGCAGGGAGCCCTGGAGCAATTATTGCCCATCAGAGTATCTGACATCAGGCCCCCAAAGCCCTGCCTTTGTAGTCTTGATCAGTCATGGATGTGGGCTGCCCCAGGAAGGGTGTGATCTGGGGTGAGATGACTCTCTGCAGCTGATGTTTGGGACTTCAAAATACCAAATGTTTTCCTTAAGCAGCTATCTCAGACACCTCTAGATTCTTAAATATTGAGGGTCCTAAGGAATTTTGTATACATGGGCTTTTTTTTTTTTCCTTAATATTCTCCTTTTTTAAAAAAAATTAAACCTTTTTGGGGGGAACTGCTCTAGGTCTTTGTTGCTGTGTGCAGGCTTCCTCCAGATGCAGTGAGCAGGGCCTACTCCAGTTGCAATGCACAGGCTTCTCGTTGCAGTGGCTTCCCTTGTTGCAGAGCACAGGCCCTAGGGTGCATGGGCTTCAGTAGTTGCAGAGTGTGGACTCGGGGGCTGTGGTATGTGGACTTACTTGCCCTGCGGCATTTGAAATCTTCCTAGACCAGGGATCGAACTTGTATCCCCTGCATTGGCAGGTGGATTCTTAACCAGTGGACCCCCAGGGAAATCTCAACATGGGCTTTATATGGAGAGATTTTTGCCACAATAGAAAATGAAATTGAGAACATCTTAAAACATAGGGATGCACACGGACACATTCCATTAGCCAGATGTCATCACAGGTGACATAGCTTCTGGAAACCATGACAGAGAATAAGAGTAGAAAAAGTCAAAGAACGTCTCATTTTATTATGGAAATGCTTTTGACCTTTGAACTTGTCCGCAGACTTTGTGTGTGTGTGTAAAATGGAGCACAGTTTCAGAATTTTCCTGAAACTGCTCACCCACCTCTGAAGCCCATTCGTGGAGCCCGGCTTCCTGTTTCCCCTTTCCCCTGAGCGACTTCAGAGTGACTGAAAAGAGATTCAGCTTCAGGTGAAGAAAAAATACTTGACACCGAAATAATAAGACCTTTTTTTTTTTTTTTTTTTTGGTGGCACAATATACATAACATAAATTTACTATTTTAATTATTTTCAAGTGTTAAATTCAATAGTGTTAAATATAGTCACAGTGGTATCAACCATCAGCACTATCCGTTTTCAGAACTTTACTTTTTCATTGTTCTGAACAGTAACTGTATCCATCAACAGTAGCCCCTCACCCCTCCTTCCTCCCAGCTCCTGGTAACCTCTAATCTAATTTTTGTCTCTATGGGTTTTCTTTTTTTCTATATACCTCATGTAAGTGGAATCTTAAAATGTTTGACGGGTTGGCTTATTTCATTTAGCGTGATGCTTTCAGAGTTCATTCATGGGCTTCTCTGGTGGTCCAATGGTTAAGAATCTGCCTTGCAATGCAGGGGACACAGGTACAATCCCTGGTTCAAGAAGATGCCACATACCATGGGGCAGCTAAGGCCATGAGCCCTAGAGCACGTGCTCCCCAATAAGAGAAGCCCCTGCAGTGAGACGCCCGCGCTCCACAAGGAAGAGCAGCCCCCACTCCCCGCAACTAGAGAAAGCCTACGCATAGCAACCAAGACCTAGCGAGGCCAAAAATTTAAAAATTAATATGTAAATATTTTATAAAAACCCCGGAAACCTAGATAGGGAGTTTGGAGGAGAATAGATACATGTATATTATTACAAGTCCCTTTGCTGTCTACCTGAAGCTTTCAGAATATTGTTAATTGTTTTGGCTATACTCCAATATAAAATATAAAGTTAAGAAAAAAACCAAAACATCCATTCATGTTGTATCTTATATCAGAACATCATTCCTTTTGAAGGCTGGGTAATATTCCATTATAGGTGTAGACCACATTTTCTGGATCCATTCCTCTGTGGATGGGCGTTGGGTTGTTTCTACCTTTTGGTGACTGTGAATAGTGCTGCTGTGAACAGGCACACACAAGTATCTGTTTGAGTCCCTGTTTTCCTTTCACTTGGGTATATACCTAGGAGTGGAATTGCTGGCTCATATGATCGTTCTGTGTTTAACTGTTCGGGAACTGAGAACACGACTTTCTGCTCTTGATCCTTCCTTAGACATTTCAGAAATCGGAAGGAGTGCCAAGTCTTACTGTGAGCACACAGCCAGGACCCAGCCCACACTGTCAGATATTGTGGTCACCCTTGTCGAGATGGGTGAGTGCGTCTCCAGGTCCCATTTCTTCAGAGCGGCTGAGCTGGGAACATGAGAGAGAGGCGTCCCCAGGAGGCGGCCTGGCCTGCTGGGTGTCCTTGGCTCTCCTCTTGAGTCTCCTGCTTTGCCTTCAACCTGACAGTTACCAAAAGAGGGTTCCTCTGAAGCCCTGTAAGAGACCTCCTAACCCCTTTGGGGGGCTCTGTTGGAGCGTCCTTTGAGTGGCAGCAAAGTCGGGAGTTTAAACTATTTCACCACAGCATGACTTCCCCTTCCGTGTTTAGGGGCCTAGGCGGTGATTTTTGTTTTCCTGTTTCTTAGGTTTCAATGTGGACACTCTCCCTGCATATGCAAAACGGTCTCAGAGGATGGTCATCACCGCCCGTAAGTGACTGTGAACTGAGGTATCCAGTAGTGCTCAATTAATGCTGGTGGAGTGAATTGATTGAATAGGGCAGGGACTGGTATATAGCTTCTGCCTCACTGCAGGCTCCTTTCCATTATTTGGGGCTACCTACAGTGTTATCTTTATTTGGGCCAATTAAATTAGGTTGTGAAATTCACTCACCACAAAGGCAAACCATCTCGATGCTACCAGAAAAATATGAGAGTTCTTATTCCTGCTTAGATCAAGAGTCAGTAAACTATGGGTACTGTGGCCCACCACCTATTTTTGTAAATAAACCTTTGTTGGTACACAGCCACATTTACGTATTACCTATGGTTGCTTTCTTGCTATAATGGCAGGGTTTAGTAGTTGTGACAGACTGCATGGCTTGTGAAACCTAAAATATTTACTTTTTGTCCCTTTATACAAAAAGTTTGATGATCTCTGCCTTAGATACACTGAGCACCATAAACTGAGTTGGAGAAACTCGTTTGGGCTTATGGAACCTGGCAAGAATTCACTAGTTTGGTTTTTTTTTTCATCACTCTCTTCAGGCTGGCATCTTTTTAGGAATACCTCTCAAGGCAGCAGTGGAAGGTGCCGTTTTTAATCCCCTCCTCACTTAACTTTCCCTGGCTCAATGTTTGTCTTTGTTACCTGGGTTCTTGAAAAGAACGAGCAGCCCACCTAACTTGCTTAGTTCCTCAGCCCTCTCTTTTGCCTAGTTAACTGGTCACAGCCACCAACTCACCTACCTGAGAGGCATGCGGGCAGATTATTGTACATGGAAATGTCACCCCAGGTTATGCAGAGGTTGGGGGCAGGGGTACCCTTTCAGGTCCTCAGGCCATCGAACGCCTTTTATTGGTAGAAGTACAAAGTGCCTGTTGCATAGAACACTGAGGTCCAGTGTTTATTTTGAGAAAAGGAGGGTTGGGTTAGAGACACAAAACCTGGGGTGGAAGACTTAACCAGTTGTGACTCTGTTGCAGCTCCTGTGACCAATCAGCCAGTGACCCCCAAGGCCCTCACTGCAGGACAGAACCGACCCCACCCGCCACACATCCCCAGCCATTTCCCTGAGTTTCCCGACCCCCACACCTACATCAAAACTCCGGTGAGTGACAAGGCCACGCTAGAGGCTGTGACTGATGTAAAAGCAGACTCAGTTCTACCTGGCTGTCAGACTGGAGTCCAGAAGTTTGTTGGTAACAGGGTAGTTCAGAACTTGGAATGTCTCTCCTCAAAAATGTCTCCAATATGGCAAAGGAGAATTATCTTCTCTACTTTGCTGGCAAAAATAGAGTTAATGAAGAAATTGGAGCTGGCACAATTTTGCCTGTCCCATCCAGACACAAAAGTCAGTTCAGTTGCTCAGTCATGTCTGACTCTTTGTGACCCCATGGACTGCAGCACGCCAGGCTTTCCTGTCCATCACCAACTCCCAGAGCTTGCTCAAACTCGCGTCCATCAAGTTGGTGATGCCATCCAACCATCTCAACTTCTGTCGTTCCTTTCTCCCTCTGGCTTCAATCTTTCCCAACATCAGGGTCTTTTCCAGTGAGTCAGTTCTTCGCATCAGGTGGCCAAAGTATTGGAGTTTCAGCTTCAGCATCAGTCCTTCCAATGAACATCCAGGACTGATCTCCTTTAGGATGGACTGGTTGTATCTCCTTGCAGTCCAAGGGACTCTCAACAGTCTTCTCCAACACCATAGTTCAAAAGCATCAATTCTTGGGCACTCAGCTTTCAAAAACCAACTCTCACATCCATACATGACTATTGGAAAAACCATAGCTTTGACTAGACGGACCTTTGTTGGCAAAGTAATGTCTCTGCTTTTTCATATGCTGTCTAGGTTGCTCCTAGCTTTTCTTCCAAGGAGCAACCGTCTTTTAATTTCATGGCTGTAATCACCATCTGCAGTGATTTTGGAGCCCCCCCAAAGTAAAAGTCTGACACTGTTTCCACTGTTTCCCCATCTATTTGCCATGAAGTGATGGGACCAGATGCCATGATCTTAGTTTACTGAATGTTGAGTTTTAAGCCAACTTTTTCATTCTCCTCTTTCACTTTCATTAAGAGGCTCTTTAGTTCCTCTTTGCTCTCTGCCATAAGGGTGGTGTCATCTGCATATCTGAGGTTATTGCTGTTTCTCCCGGCAATCTTGATTCCAGGTTGTGCTTCATCCAGCCTGGCGTTTCACATGATGTACTCTGCATATAATTTAAATAAACAGGGTGACAGTATACAGCCTTAACATGCTCCTTTCCCAATTTGGAACCAGTTTTTTGTTCCGTGTCTGGTTCTAACTGTTGCTTCTTGACCTGCATACAGATTTCTCAGGAGGCAGGTCAGGTGGTCTGCTATTCCCATCTCTTGAAGAATTTTCCACAGTTCATTGTGATCCACACAGTCAAAGGCTTTGTCATAGTCAATAAAGCAGAAGTAGGTGTTTTTCTGGAACTCTCTTACATTTTCAGTTACCCAACAGATGTTGAGAATTTGATCTCTGGTTCCTCTGCCTTTTCTAAATCCAGCTTGAATATCTGGAAGGTCACGGTTCACATACTGTTGAAGCCTGGCTTGGAGAATTTTGAGCATTACTTTGCTAGCCTGTGAGATGAGTGCAGTTGTGCAATAGTTTGAGCATCTTTGGCATTGCCTTTCTTTGGGATTGGAATGAAAACTGACCTTTTCCAGGCCTGTGTCCACTGCCAAGTTTTCTAGATTTGCTGGCATATTGAGTATAGTACTTTCACAGCATCATCTTTTAGGATTTGAAATAGCTCAACTGGAATTCCATCATCTCCACTAGCTTTGTTCATAGCGATGCTTGCTAAGGCCCACTTGACTTCACATTCCAGGATGTCTGGCTCTAGGTGAAGGATTATACCATTGTGGTTATCTGGGTCTTGAAGATCGTTTTTGTATAGCTCTTCTGTGTATTCTTGCCATCACTTCTTAATATTTTCTAGATACAAAAGTACCTAGCCACTTAAAGAAAAAACCTATTCCACAAAACATTGGTAGTAATTCTTGGTTAGAGTATAGCTAACTGTTGTCTTGTGTATGCTTTTCTGGGTTTTCCAAATTTTCCATAATCGGTAAGAGTTATTTTTGAAATCAGGGTAAAAGTTACTTAAAACATACTTGGTGGGACTTCCTTGGTGGTCCAGTGGTTAAGACCACTCTTCCACTGCAGGGGCATGAATTCGATCCCAGGTCGGGGAACTAAGATCCTGCATGCCATGTGGCACAGCCAAAAAAAACTTGGTAATATGAAATGTAACTTATCATAGGAGAAGGCAATGGCAACCCACTCCAGTACTCTTGCCTGGAAAATCTCATGGACAGAGGAGCCGAGCCTCATAGGCTGCAGTCCATGGTGGTCGCTAAGAGTCAGACACAACTGAGTGACTTCACTTTCACTTTTCACTTTCATGCCTTGGAGAAGGAAATGGCAACCCACTCTAGTGTTCTTGCCTGGAGAATCCCAGGGATGGCGGAGCCTGGTGGGCTGCCGTCTATGGGGTCGCACCAAGTTGGACACGACTGAAGCTTCAAAGCAGCATCAGCTTAACCATAACTGTGACCTTTGGGTCTATATGGGACAAGTATAGTTTTCCTCTGTGGTTTGATATGTCCTAATTTACCTTCTAGTAATTTCTCCTTCCCTTAGAAGGCACATGGTGTCCAGGAGTCTCCAGAGGCTGTTCTGCTCATTTCCTGTGTCCCCGTGTCCTGGTGCAAATATGGCCGCAATGCGGGGTTAGAGCAAGTCATCCAGGAGATTTTTCCACACCTCAAGATATGAGGGCAAAGGAGCAAGTCGTCACCCACCACTGCAAGCACAGACATTGCCCTTGACCAGTGGTTTCTGTATGAGTGTCCTAGGGCTGCTGTAACAAAGTGCCACAAACTAGGTGGCTCAGAACAACAGAAATGCATTGTATTACAGTCCAGAGGCCAGAAGGTCAAAATCGAGGTGTCAGCAGGCTCCCTCTGAAATCTCTTCTCAGCCTCTGGTGGCTTCAGGCAGTTCATGGGGTCCTTCAGCTTGTAGATGCATTACTCCAATCTTCCCTCCTCATGTGGCCCTCTCTCTGTATCTCTGCCTTCATGTGACAGCTTCTGTTAAGGATACCAGTCATGTGGCTTTGTACTGCCCTACTGCATGACACCTCATGTTCACTGAGTGCATCTTGCCCTGACCCTACTTCCAAATACTGTAAGATCATATTCTGAGGCCCTCGAGGTTGGGACTTCGACACATCTTTCTTTAGAGAGCCACAATCAACCCATAGCAATCTCTCTCTCTCTCTTTATTTATTTATTTGGCTGCACCAAGGCCTAGGGATCTTCAGTTGTGGCATTCGGACTCTTAGCTGCAACATGAAGGATCTAGTTCCCTAACCAGGGATCAAACCCAGGCCTCCTGCATTGGGAGCGCAGTCTTAGTCCCAGGACTACTAGGGAAGTCCCTGTCTTAACTCTTCTGTAGTGCATCTCTGTCAGTAAAAGTATTAAATGCTCCATTATTTGTTTGCTTATTTACGTGCATGTTATAATGTAATTCCATATAAAAACAATGTACATTGGAAGATCATCTGACCCTTATTCAAGGTTCGGGAAACCTGTTGGTTCCTTTTTAGTGGCAACTACATGATAGCCTGTGCTCTTGCATTTTTTGAAATCTTGGTTTAAATCTTGGTGGAATACGAAGTCACAGGTCTGATTCTAGGTTCTGTTTATTTTGAAACTTTGACAGCTCTCATAGTTGAAAAAGATACATTACAAAGATAGGTGACATCTTAAACTGTCCTTAATAAACCATAAAAGTAATTTTTTTCATTCTCATCTACCAATTATTTGAAGAATTTTGTTAATTAAATTTCTAACTTTTATAATAAATGTCAAGCAGTTGTCTTAAAAATAATTGTAAGATCTTGCTTTTTAATGTTTTTAATCAGAGTGTTCAGGATTTCATCAAATTCTTCATTTGGGGAAGATTTCAAACATGTCAGAAAATCTTGTCATCACATTACATCAGGGGTCCCGGGTGGTCCCATCAGGGCTTGCAGGGGACTGGGAGGTGAGGATTCCCCACTCTCCCTTGAGGATACATTTCTTACGCCTGAGTCCAGCTGTCACGGGAGCTAAATGAAGGCCTAGGATCAATCACTATATAAATATTTGTACATTTCTTAATTTTTAAGATTCAAAGTAAATGTTAATGATAGTCTTATTGTTTTCTTTCGGCCCTTCCACTGTCCTTGGAGATCTCTGCTTTGGGTGATGGTAGAGGGTCATTTAAAGGGTGGGAGGACAGAGCAACAGCAAGGCAGGGACCCGAGGAGAGCAGTACAATCATGGGGATTTCTCTAGTGTCTTTGCTGCTCTCCCTTTAGACGTACCGTGAGCCCGTGTCAGACTACCAGGTCCTGCGGGAGAAGGCCGCGTCCCAGAGACGCGACGTGGAGCGGGCGCTCACCCGTTTCATGGCCAAGACAGGCGAGACCCAGAGTCTTTTCAAAGATGACGTCAGCACGTTTCCACGTGAGTCTCTCCCCTCTGTGGACCCTGCCTTGTCCTTGAGGTGATCATCCCCTCTTCCCTCCCTCATTGTGGTTGGAAGAAACAAGTAAGCTTTGTCCTTATCTTGGGTGGAACTTTTTCTTCAGATTTCTGGCTCTTTTTTCCAGATCTTCAGGGCCTGTCCCTAACTGATGACTCCAAAATAGTCATGACCTGTGTTGGAAGTGGGCGCTTGAGGTTCGTGGAATTGAGGTCACCTCGAGGGTTACTGAGCCCTGGGCGTCAGAGAGGCTCATCCAGTGACAGGGCAGCCCTGGTGGTAGAAGGACCTGGTGTCAGGGGCCAGGCAGTTACAGAGCCTCTGCCAGGCTGCGCCTTCGTGGTATCCTCTCACAGGGCCCACCACTGAATTTCTCATCTCGGCACTACCATTTCGCTGGGTGCATAACCCGTCCATTCCTCAAGACCAGTTCCCTCCTGTCCATCAGCCTCAGGGTCTCCCTAGGGGAGCGAGGGTGATGGGCTTGGAGGGTTCAGCAGGCTCCTGGTGGATCCTCACTGTGTTCCTGGCCTTAGATCTACAGCAGCTAGGTTACTGAGTCCAGAAACTGCTGATCACTTCCCTTCTGTTACCTCATGAGCTCCTTGAGTGAGCCTCTGAGTCAGGAACTATTTCCACTGCCCTTCCGGGAAGTTAAGGCTTCTAGAGAAAAGCAACAGAGTAATTTGCCGAAGGTCACATGGCGAGTAGATGGTATTCAGACCTAGTTCTCTCTGTGTGCAGGACCCACATCTGAGCCATGCTGAAAATAATCTTCCAAGTGTCTGTTGTTAATGACATTCTACCATGGATATATACACAGACACTTTCTTTCCATTTTTTTTTTTTAAACAATAATTTATCCTCCTCAGCCTCATTGCTTTTTAGAGGAATTGGATCGCTCCTTTACCTGCCTTCTAGCTCCGTGGATATACTTCCAGGCTGAGAGTTCTCAGTTCCACTGTCAGGATTTGAGTCCTTGCCTTGGGTATAAGATCACTAAGCTGATGCTTCGCTTGAATTCAGCCCCAGTCCTCTCTGATGCTTGGTAAAAGAGGCTCTGAAGTCATATTGCCTGGGTTCATTCCCACTCTGCCACTTCCTGTGTGTTTGAGGGGGTCGCATAACCCCTCAATTCCTCAGGTTCCCTGTCTGTAAGATGAGGCTGGTAGCTATAGTTGTTTAATATGGTGGAGACGAGGATTAAAGGTAACGTGTTAAGTGTTACCTGGCCCGTGGTGAGTGCCCGAGCATGTTAGCTATCCCTGCCGCTCAGTGCTGCTCGCTGATCTGTTGTAAGGCTCCCGGTCTCTCTTCCAACCCCCCAGTGATCGCTGCCAGGCCTTTCACCATCCCCTACCTGACGGCTCTTCTTCCGTCTGAGCTGGAGATGCAGCAGATGGAGGAGACGGATTCCTCGGAGCAGGACGAGCAGACGGACACAGAGAACCTCCCTCTTCACATCAGCCCGGTGGGTCCAGCCTTCTGTCTGCTTCAGCGCACCCCCCACCCCCACCCCCCGCAGTAGCCTGTGCTGCTCACTGTCTCCCCGGGGGTTGGACAGGACCCCCTCAGTCTCTGGCCTCTTGTGAGGGACTTGCATGATGGGCCTGTGGTGACGTGATCTCTCGTTCCCTGGGAATTCGTTCAGTCATCCAGCAAATACTGAATGAGCCCCTGCCAGAGTCAGGCATGTGTTGGGTGCTGGGAAATTAGCAGAAGGCAAAATAGACAAAACGTCCTGTCCTCACGGAACTAAGGGAAAATGAGACGTTAGGGGACAGGAGTAGGTATGGGCCTGGGGGGTGTGGTATTAGACAGGGTGAGTAAGAAGGTGACAGGTGAGCAAAGGCCTGAGGGAACGAGGCTGCACATCTCTGGGAGGGGAGCCTTCCCCGCAGAGGGAACGGCAGCTACGAAGGCCCCCAGGTGGGAGCCGCTGTGTTGAAGAAGGGCAGAGGCCATGGGGGTGACCAGGGGATGCGAGTAAGAGGGCAGCAGCAGGGGCCGGAGTCAGGGAGCTCCCGGGGCTCAGGCCCTCACGGGACACCAGCACTTGGGCTTTTTGTCAGTGAGATGGGAGCCGCGGGACCTGCTAAGCAGCGGTGGGTCTCGGGATCGGTGAGGTGGTGAGGTTGTCGAGGCGGACTGCACAGGGTGAGGGCCGAGCACAGAGACCGGTCGGGAGGCTGGTGCAGGAAACAGAGATGGTGGTAGCGGGAAAGACATGGTCAGGTAGATGATTTGGTCAGATTCTAGATAATTTTCAGAAAAGAACCAACTGCTGGAGTGGACGTGAGATGTGAGAGAAAGAGAGTCAAAGACAAACGCAAGGTTTTTTGCCTGAACAGTAGGGAAGAGGAAGTTGCCTCCAGCCAAGAAAGGGGAGGTTTTTGGGTGGAACAGGGGTCGAGGGAGACCAGGAGTTGAGGTGTACTGAGGTGAGTTTGAGATGCTTGTTAGACATCCGGGTGGTGAAATCAGGTGGGGGCCTCCCTAGTGGCTCGTGGTAAAGAATCCTCCTGCCAGTGTAGGAGCTGCCAGAGACACAGGTTTGATCCCTGGGTTGGGAAGATCCCCTGGAGAAGGAAATGGCAACCTACTCCAGTATTCTTACCTGGATAATCCATGAACAGAGGAGCCTGGTGGGCTACAGTCTGTGGGGTCACCAAGAGTCGTGGTGATGTCAGGTAGGAAGGTGGATTGGCAAGTTGGAGTTCAGGGAGCTGTTTGGGCTCAAAGTGCAAGTCTGGGAATTCTCAGCATGTAGATAGTGTTGAAAACCACGAGAGATCAGCTGAGCACCTAGGGAGCAATGAGGATAAAAAAGAGAAGTACCAGGAGTGAGCCCGGGGCTCTGCACCATTCAGCAGGTAAGGAGACAAGGAACCAGCCATGGATGTGAAGAAGGCACAGCATGAAAGGTGGCGCGTCCTGGAGGCCAAGGGAAGAAAGTGTCAGGAAAAGGAGAGTGATCCGCTTGATCTGCTCTCTCTGCAGCTGCAGCAGATTCCAGCCTGGTGAGGACTGAGACTTTGTCGCTTAGATCTGGCAATAGCCATTTCAGGAAGAATGAGAGCAAGTGAATTCAAAGAGAATGGGAGGAGAGAAATTGGAGTTAGTGAGTACAGACTTGTGTTGTCCTTCACAGTGGCCAGTAGTCCACAGGCAACTAAGTCTAAATTGATGTAAATTAAATATAACAAAAAATTCAGTTCCTTAGTCACCCCAGCTACATTTCCGTAGCCACCTATGACTCCTGACCCTGCTGGGCAGTGCAGATATGAACAGTTAAATCATCACAGAAAGTTCCATTAAATGTAGACCGTGGTTTCAAGGAATTTTGCTGTGACGGGAAGGTGAGAAATGGAGTGGTAACTAAAGGGAAAGAATTAAGGAGGTCAGAGAGGTGTAACAAGATGCCTGTGCTGATGGGAGTGATCTGGTAAAGTTGATTCAGGAGAGAAGAACATTTTGGAATGATGATCTTTGGTAGGGCAGGGAATCCAGTATCCAAAAGGAGGGGTTAGCCTAATTGTGGACTTTTCCGAGCCAGGGTAGGAGACAGAGTGTGGACAGAGACAAAGGTTGAGGAAGGGAGTATGCTTGTGGGAACTTGTGGGTGTTCCTTTCTGGTTATGATGTACTGTCCTCGGCAGGTAAGAGGGTAAGACCCACTCTTATTTATGCATCAGGAGAGAAAGTTCCAAGTAGAGGCCCAGACCTGCCAGAAGCTCTTAATGCCTTTAAGGCTTATTGGACCCTTAGAGTGAGGTTGCTATACTCATCCATCCTTTAAAGCTGGCCTTGGCTTTTAAGCAAGGGATGGCTTAGTGGTCGTAACTAGACTGAGGGCTCTCAGGTGCGAGGCCCCAGGTAGCAGCCCCCAGCCCTGGGATGCAGGTAGAGAGTGCCATTTCTGACTCTAGTATTTACTGATGGTCTCCCTGATCACATACCTCTTTAATGTTGAATTATTCCTTTCAGAATTAGGGCTGGTAGCCCATGGCTTTACGTAAAGCAGAGGAGCTTGTTATCCTACGCTTCTGTTTTGGATTCTGTTAAGTCGGTCTGAGATATGGTGATTGGGTCATGGACTAAGATGAGGTTCACCTTATGAGAAGGAGGAATCTTCTAAACAGACATCACAGACCCTTTGTAAGTAAGCTCAAGGGCTTGCAGTTGAGTTACCTAACACTCTGGGGAGTGACATAGGTGAGGCCATGGCGGTGAGTGCAGCGAGGCGGACTGGATGCCAGGAGCTGCCTGAGGACTCCTGGATCCCTGGAGGCCAAGCCAGACAGCAAAGAGTGAAAAGACCTGAGCCTTGAGAGTCAGACTGACTTGGCTGCCAATCCAGACCGGGCTGCTTTCCTGCTAAGTGACGTTGGTTGCCTGATCCAGTATCTGAGTCTGTTTCCTCACAAATGGGAACACCTACTTCCAGGGGAAGTAAGGAGCCTGAGATAAAATCAGCTCATCTACGTTGGGTGCTTGGCATACGGCAGCCCATGGCACCCCTGCCCACCCCCTCTGCCCCCCCCGTTGTATGGCCCTGTGCTCTTCTGTACAGAATAGAGAAATAAAAAAACTTCAAGAGAAGGATTCCAGCACCAATTTATGGACAGTCAATTGGGCTTGTTATTTTGTTGGACTGGCCACAATCACACATTTGAAATCCGGAATGTACAAAAAGGTGTGTGGTGACCGTCTTTCACTCTCCCTTTCCCGCCTACAGAGCAGCCAGTGTCACCACTCTCTTGTGAATCCTTCTAGAGACTTTGTTTGAATTTATTTTTTGGCCACGCCGTGCAGCATGTGGGATCTTAGTTCTCCGAGCAGGGAGCAAACCTGTACTCCCTGCATTGGAAGCGTGGAATCTTAACCACTGGACCGCCGGGGAAGTCCTTAGAGATGCTTTTTTAATTGTTGTTTTGAACATACACAGCAAATCACAGTTTTTACCCCTTGCTTCCTTCCCTTGTGGAGCTACTTGGCGGTCATTCCACATCCTTGTATGCAGAGCTGTTCGCCCCTCCCCATAGTGCCCCCCTCTCGTTTGGACTTTACAAGCCAGTCCCCTGTGGACTCAGGTTGTTTCCTGTCTTTTGTGTTTACAGACGTTGTTAACAGTGAGTTCACTAACTGGTGTGTTAAAGTGTTCTTTTATCTCTGGAGGACGAAGCTCTCACGGACTGTTGCTAGGTAGTTCCTTTGTTGAGCTTGGTTCTGGTTTCTCTGTCCACGAACATGAAGGGGCTATTCATTTTAAATTGGTGTGTCAGATGATTATTTTCTCTTACATTTGAGCCAGCTGCCATCTGCAGGCAATCCCGGTGCCTCACCCTTTACTCTTTTCTGAACAATGTACCATTCACTAATTCAACAAGTATTTATATAATACCTGGTAGGTGCCAGACATTGTTCTGGGTGCTCGGGGCACATCAGTGACCAGCACAAAGACGACAGCTGCCTCTTGGCAGCCCGTGTGTTGGCAGTGGGGGCTTGACCATGAAGCGTAGTATATAAATCCGTCACTGTATAGTATGTTAAAGATGAAAAGTGCTCTGGGTGGAGGTGGGGGGCCCTGAGTAGGGAAAGATCCAGGGTAAAGCGGGGAGGTTTCAGTTTTAAATAGGGTGCTCAGGGTCCACATCACAGGGAACGTGACATCCTAGCCGTCCTGAAGGAGGTGAAGGATTGAGCCTTGGGCTCTCTGGGGCAGTGTCCTGGAAAGGGAACAGTAGGGAGGCAAGTGGGGCTGTGACTGGGGAAGGGGGGATGGGTGTGGGGGAGAGGGAGAGGTCAGGTCAGGAAGGGCCTTATGAGCAGTTTGAAGAGCTGTCTTCCCATGGGGTGAAGTGGGAGTCATGAGAGGATGTGGGGAGGAGGAGGGGCAGGTCTGAGCTTCTCCAGGAGCACTGGCCGTGCTGGTGACCACAGGGCCGGCAGAGGATGGACTGTGACAGGATGCCCATTAGGAGGCGGCTGTCCATCCAGGTGGGAGACAGCAAGGGGTCCTACCAGGGGGTTCCACTAGAGATAATGGAAGTAGATTCTGCATGTATTCTGAAAGTAAGGCCAAGAAGTTTTCCTAACAGATTGGCTGGGGGATATATCAGAGAAAGAAAAAAAGCAGGCCTGACTGCAGATTTTGGGGGTTGGACCAATGGGGATGGAGTTGCCGTCACTGATGTCAGTGGGAGGAGCTGTTTGTGCTTGGGGTTCAGTTTCAGGCACATTGAATTTGAGATGCCCAGAGATGGCAGGTGGTCGAGTGACAGCGGCCGTGCAGGAGAGGTGACAATCGGGAGGGTTCAAGTGGGAGATGTTGCTGTGGAAATGGTGTTGGAACCTGTGAGGCTGGAGGCAGCACCCTTGGGTGCCTGGGGTTCGCACAGAGCATGCACATTGCCTGAGTCTGGCCTTTCTGGGCCCAAGTCACTCCTGACACACCTTTTTACTCCCACCTCTTCTTTACAAATCTGTCAGTTTAGTACTTCTTCCATCTACTCCTCCTGTTGCTGATGACAGCGTCCTCGGCTCTGCTGTCTTCTGACAGCGCCATCGCCTACTTGAGGTCAGATCCTCTTTTACCTCAAGTTGCACAACAGCTGACCTGGTGGCTCAAATGGTAAAAAATCTGTCTGCAATGCCGGAGACCCCAGTTTCATCCCTGGAGAAGGAAGATCCCTTAGAGAAGGAAACAGCAACCTGCTCCAGTATTCTTGGCTGGAGAATCCCATGGACAGAGGAGCCTGGAGGGCTACAGTCCATGGGGTCACAAAGAGTTGGACACGACTGAGCGACTAAAACACGTTAAAAGTACAGAACAGGAACCTCAGTGATGGAGCCTTCAGCCTGTCACCAGGGTTGCAGCCCAACCAGCAACTTCTGGTCACTTACTGCCACCTGGGCCTGAGCCCTTTGTGTGATTCCCCCCAACACCTCTCCTGCAGCTTCTGCTCATTTTAAAGAACTTGGAAAATAGAAGAGAGTGTAAAAAAGGAAAGGAAAATCAGTCAGCCATATTTCCAGAAGCAGTTTGTAAAACTTCAGTATCATTAATGTTTTCTATGTCTATATCCAACTGTGATTTTTAAAAAAATCTTCAAGATCATATTGACTGTACTCAAACTTAGAAACTTTTCTCCGAAAATCACTTTTCTCAAAAAATGAACAGTGAGAGGCCTGATCCACGGGCCACACGTGGGGGTGGTGGGTGACATTCCCGTGTTGGTGCCTTCGTGGGAGCTCTCGGGGCCCCAGCAGTTTCTGGCCTCTGCTGGGATATGACCATTGGCACCATGTTGCAAGTACCAGATGCTTAAGAATTTGTGGGAAAGTAGATTATGATTTACATGAGGTTAGCTCCAGGAGGGGCTCTGTGCACACCATCTGTTCTGGTCCTGTACCTCTCAGTCCTGCAGGGGATTGAGGGCCTCTTCTTTCTCTCTCTTTAAGTTTTAAAAAGTATTATTTATTTATTTGATTGCGCTGGGGCTTCCTGGTGACACTCCGGATCTCTGATCTTTGTTGTGGCATGTGGATTCTAGTTCCCTGACCAGAGATTGAACCTGAGCCCCTGCCTTGGGAGCGAGAAGTCTTAGCCACCGGGCCACCAGGGAAGTCCCACTTCTCTTTTACTTCATCTCCCCACAGGCTGAAGCATTCCTCCCTGAAGCATCTGACTTGTGGTCCCTGACTCCCTGCCCCCCAGGTCTCTGTTCCCTTCCGACTCCTGTCCCTGCCTGCTCGGGGGTCTTGTGTTCTGTGCTCCACTGTGTCACCGCTGGTGCTCCCGCCTTCCTCTGATCGCAGCCACTGCCTGGCCTCCTCTGGAGCAGAGAGAGGCACTTTAGCCCGGCTTCTGATTTCTCAGTGAGAGGCGTGCTTCTAGTAGTTCTTAACCACAGGCATGATCTCTTTCCTCACGCTGCTGGTTGTTTTGCTTTATTTCGGCTTTTGCTCAAAGGATGATTCTGGAGCCGAGAAGGAGAACACCTCTGTTCTGCAGCAGAACCCCTCCTTGTCGGGGAGCCGAAACGGGGAGGAGAGTATCATCGATAACCCCTATCTGCGGCCCGTGAAGAAACCCAAGATCCGCAGGAAGAAGTGAGTTGGAGGCTGGGGTGCAGAGAGGCCTCCCCGGCCGACCAAGGTGGTCTTCTCTGCTCCTGGGCAGAAAAGAGAGGCTCACGGTGGGTCTGAGCCTTGGGCAGAGCTACTTGGTGAGAGGAAATGTTCCCCCCCCTTCCTCTCCAGCCTCGTCTCCTGCATGTACCTCTTTCTTGTTGCATGGACGTTGAGCATCCTGCAGCCCAGGGACCAGCCCACACAGCCCAGCAGTTTGTTCCCCTCACTAAAAGGAGAGCTAGCGGAGCCCCCACCAGCTGGGCTCCAAGGATTCCTCTTCTTTCTAGGTCCCTCTCCTGAGCCGAGAAGGAAGCCTGCCTTGTACAGAGATGTGGATGCCACCCTCCTTGGCGAGTTAAAGCCTCTCGAGGGAAGAGGAAGGTGGTCGTCTCGGGGTCGAGCTGAGGCTGTGGGGTGTGAATCAGGCATGATTTTAATAGCCAACTCTGTATTACGATTACCTATTTTCACTGGATTTTGGGGTTGATGAAGAAATGAAATGATGAGACTTTTAATCAGCTGGCCATACCGTGGGGTACAGGAATGGTGAATTCATTTATAATCATGGAACTTGATTCTTTGAAACCTGGGAGACCAGAGAAGGTGGCAGAGAGAGAGGGCTCTCTGCCTGCTGTGCTTATTGCCAGAAAGACAGTGTGCTTAAAGTGTTTCAGGATATCTGGATCCTTTCATTGGCTGACGATTTGTGGCACCAGTTTATCATTCTAGAAACTCCTTATTTCTCTGCTCACCTGGGCTGCAAGCGCCCTGTTGATTTGGTTGAAGGTGACTTGCTCTTCTTCAACATGTTGGAAGCAGGAGACTCACCCATTGCAGCCTCATTGTGGGGCCGGCAGGAGTCAGGAGGCGTGAGCAGATGCCTTCATGGGGAGGAGAATGGAAGACATCACTGACTCTCATCAGCATCTGATGAAATCTCCCTGAGGCAGGGCAGTGCCCTCTCCTGAGAGATTTATCATTTACTGTCCCATCATGGAGCATGTGCTTGGGAACGAACAAGTTCTGCACCATCCTGGGAAAAGAGGTTTTTCTTTGGCAAGAGCCTACATCAGTGGATGTATTATGCTATGATTTGATAGCAGAATCATTGATTTTATGCAATAGGAAAAGGATCGATGGGACTGGGAGGTGGCGGGGATGAGATTTTGAAGGCCGGGCTTGGCCGTATGGTCCAGAGGCTGAGAAACCTCGCGGGTCTGCTGGAGGCTGGCACGGATCAAAGGCCATGTTCCCACCTATGGCAGAAGTGGGCCAAGAAGAACCTGCACGTCTGAATCTACCCAGGCTCTTTGCCTCTTCATCCTTGATGTGCCTACAAACCAAGAAAGGAAGATGCTGGGCAAGCTGATACCTTTTTGACTGGTCTCCATAGGAAGAGGTTTTCAAACTAAGAGGAAGAGAAATGCCAGTGAAACCTGGAAGTTAATACACGGAAAACACGAGACCCTGGGTAAAGTCCTTAGTCCATCCTGAGCTCTCCTGATACTCGGCCTCCACAGTCATCTCTTAGTCGTCCATCCTCTTGGTCGAATTTGAAAACTCAGAAAACCTGGTGACAGCAGGCAGCAGGCTCCATGTGCTGGCCTCGCTGTTCTCTAAACACTTCATCCCACTGGCTGGAAGGAAAGTGCTGCTATCAGTAATTGAACAAGGGAAGCGGAATGAGAAAATCGGATTCCCTAGCTCTGGACCAAAGAAGAGTTTCCCCCGTCTGTAGTGATCTGAAACCCTTCCAGTTATAGTTGTCAGATCGGGCCTGTGCTGACCCCTTCCAAGCTTGTCATTTGGCTCTTTGTTAAGTTTAAATACAGTCCCAGGGTTGAGCCATGGCAAGTACAGGGCTAAAATTCTACTTCCTGGAGTGGTCATCGTAGCAGTTTCTCCTGATACTTCCCAGATGAGCACCTGTTGATGCTATAATGCTGAGTGATAAGGTGAACTTTGGAAAAGAATTGCCCTTCTGCTGTTGAGACTTCAGGGGCCAAGCTGCTCTAATTCTGCCCTGAACCAGACACTGGGAGATGCTCGGACAACCTGAAACATTGACCCAACTCTTACTGTGTAAAAACTGCATGATCCTCACTGTATATTTATAAATGTTTATTTTTTATAACTTAGGGAGAATGTGTGGAGGGAAAAGGTAGTCAATGAAATTGGATTAAGCATGTGATTTATGAGCTCTTAATCAAAGGTCATAATAAACTTTGTGAATGAAACAATTACAAGCACTGAACTCAAATTTGTGTGCAAAAGTTACAGCATCGAGTAAGACTGTGTAAGTTAGGCTTAGTACTTCTAAGCTGTTTAAAACTTTATTTGGGAAGTCTGCAAACACAAAACTAGTGTTTTCCCTGTGTATTCACCCAGCTTCAACATTTAGCAACATCTTTTCAATTCTGTTTCATCTATGTATTCTACTGTTTTATTTTTTTAATTCCTAGAATACATTTTAAAACAAACCTAAGAGCTGTATCATGTAATCTGTAAATATGTTGTTACGCATCTCTGATAGACTTTTTAAAGTTTTTTTTAAGGTAATTACAGATTGAGAGGATGTTACCTCCCCCCAAAAAAATGTTTTACAAGGGAGGTGCTACTAGTAGCATCTCAAATAACTAGTATAATATCAAACCCAAGAAAATGACATTGGAATAATCCACAGAGCTTATCCAGATTTCACCTTTTTGTGTGTGTGTAATTCTGTGTAATCATGTTGTGTAAATTCACAGTCAAGATGTCGAACATCGGGAAGCAGGCAGGGATAAACTGGGAGGTTGGAATTGACATACATACTACTACAGATAAAAAAGATAGGACTCCCTTGGTGGTATAGTGGATAAGAATCCACCTGCCAATGCAGAGGACATGGGTTTGGTCCCTGGTCTGGGAAGTATCCACAGGCAGAGGAATAGCTAATTCCATGTGCCAGAACAAGAGTAGCCTGAGCTCTGGAGCATGCAAGCCACAACTACTGAGCCCATGTGCTGCAACTACTGAACCCCGTGCGCCTAGAGCCTGTGCTCCGCAATGGGAAGCCACCGCAACGAGAAGCTCGTGCACAGTGATGAAGATAGCCCCCTGCTCGCAGTAACTAGAGAAATCCTGCATGCAGCAACGGAGACCCAGTGTAACCAAAAAAAAAAAAAATCACCATAAAAGTTATAAAATAGATAACTAATAAGGACCTACTCTATAGCACAGGGAACTCGACTCAATACTCTATAGTGACCTGTATGAGAAAAGAATCTAAAAAAGTGGATGTATGTATATGTATAACCAATTCACTTTGTTGTATGGCAGAAACTAACACGACATTGTAAATCAACTTGCCCCAATAAAATTTTTTTAAAAATATAGAACATTCTCATAACCATGAAGTTCCTTCATGTTGTCTCCTTATAACCGTATCCACCTCTCACATCTTCCCCATCCCTCCCCTCTGGCAACCACTGCTCTCCTTTCTCCATTTCTTTAATTTTATTTTTAAAATATCATAAGTGAAATTTTAAGGTTTGTAACCTTTTGAAATTGGCTTTTTCACTCAGCATAAGCAGCGAGAGCCATCAGGTGGTTGTGTGTCAGTAGCTCCTTTATTGCTGAGCAGTCTCCCAGCTGTGGATGTACCATGTTTGTTTAACCATTCGGCTGTTTCCAGTTTGGGGCTGTTATGGCTGAAGCAGCTGTGAACAGCTGTGTATAGGTTTTTATGTAAACATAAATTTTCATTTCTCTACAATAAATGCCCAGTAATTCAACCACTGGGTCCTATGGTAACTGTATGTTTCATTAAAAAAAAAAAAAAAAAAAACTATTCCAGAGTGTCCTGTATCATTTTGCCTTCCTACTGGCAATGTATGAATAAGCCAGTCTCTCCACATCCTCACTGGTATTTGATGTTATCATTTAAACAGTTTTTTTTAGCCATTCTGATAGGCATGTGATAATACTCATTGTGATCTTAATTTGCATCTCCCTGATGGCTAGATGTTGAACATGTTTCATGCGGTTTTTTTTGCTGTTTATCTTCTTTGGTTAGTTATCCATTTAAATCTTTTGTCCATTTTCTAACTGGATTGCTTCTTTGTTTTTAGATTTCTTTATATATTCTGGATACAAGAACTTTGTCAGATATGTGGTTTGCAAATACTTTCCCCCACTCTGTAGCTGGCCTTTTCATTCACTTCACAGGGATCTTTTGGAGAGCAAAAGTTTTTAATTTTCATGAAATCCAATTTATTTTTTCTTTTATAGATTGTTTCTGTTGACAGGCCTAAAACCTCTTTATTGAGTCCTAGGTCCTGAAGATCTTTTTCCATATGTTTTATGTTTTAGACCTTGATCTGTTTTTTCTTTTTATTTTTTTATTGAAGCATAATTGCTTTACAGACTTTTTTTCTGTCAAACCTCAACATGAATTAGTCATAGGTATACATATATCCCCTCTGTTTTGAACCTCCCTCCCATCTCTCACCCCATCCCACCCCTCTAGGTTGATACAGAGCCCCTGTTTGAGTTTCCTGAGCCATATTTTACATATGGTGATGTAAGTTTCCATGTTACTCTTTTCATACATCCCACCCTCTCCTCCCCTCTCTCCATGTCCGTAAGCCTATTCTCCATGTCTCTTTCTCCCTTGTTGCCCTGTAAATAAATTCTTTTTTTTTTTTGTCTTTAGATTCAACTTTATTTTTTTTTCCATTTATTTTTATTAGTTGGAGGCTAATTACTTTACAGTATTGTAGTGGCTTTTGCCATACATTGACATGAATCAGCCATGGATTTACATGTGTTCCCCATCCCGGTCCCCCCTCCCGCCTCCCTCCCCATCCCATCCCTCTGGGTCTTCCCAGTGCACCAGCCCTGAGCACTTGTCTCATGCATCCAACCTGGGCTGGTGATCTGTTTCACCCTTGATAGTATACTTCTTTCAATGCTGTTCTCTCAGAACATCCCACCCTCGCT